ATATATAAATATCCATCTGGAGGTTGGTAACAATCATAGCTGTCTACAAGCTGGCTCATGGATATATAATGTTCAATTTACAAAGACACTTGCCAGTTATTCATTCCCTAAATCAACTTTTATGCTTCCTCCCATTTGTTACTGCAGCTTTGAATGACGGTTGTCTGCGAAATATATCGCTGCGAATTCGCGCGGCACACATGCCTCCAAGCGACACACTGATTCACACTGGTGATCTTTTGACTGCTGTCTACTACGTGGTAAAAGGCAGTTTAGAGGTTGTCACTACTGACGATCTGATTTTGGGCGTATTGAACCCCGGCGATTTCTTCGGCGGTCTGCCTACATTAGTCATGCGGACCCCGGCGGATCGGATGCACTTTTACCCGTGCGAATGCGCGCTCCTACCACCTACAACCACTGCAGGTGGTGCTCCTCCTGGTGGTGTTTGGCCCACCTCAACTCTTGCTCTCGGTATGACCGCACAGCACAACCCACCGCCCAAATCTCGTTTTGCGGTACGTGCATTGACCTATGCAGATGTGCAGTTTATCGACCGGCACGATCTGGTCGATTTGTGCGCAGTGTATCCGGAGTTGCCAAACCGAATCTTGGAACGATTCGAATTGACCATCCCACTCGCCTCGTCCGCCACTGGCATGCATTCAACCGCGGTACGTGCTTGATTCACCTGTCATCATCATCATCCCTGGATTTGCTTAGTCCTTTTTTCTATCGGTTTTCCTCCGCACTAGTCCTAGGTCATCTTCAGTCCCGGTTTGCTCTCATACGTTGGCGATTTGCCCCCCCCCCCCTACGCACACATCATACGGAGTTGGTAATGTTATTTTTCGGAAAAGTATCCATCTCAGCAACAAGTGATCAAGTTTCTGAGTTTTTTTTTTAATATCATGAAACACAAAGCTGTCAAAACTAAGTGCGTGGTCGACCGGAGATTCCATCAATTATTTTCTACTACAAAGGTGGCGATTTGCGTTGGCTAAATTCCATCCTTAAGCACGAAAATGATCGCAAACGAGAAATGTTCATTTTTCAGATTCATGGTTCTGAGTTGATGATGCACGAATAATTCTCACCTGCATATATTCGATTTTCGATAAGTTTCTTTTTATTTGGACTATATTCATCATTATTCCCTGTCGTTGTCTAGAAGGTGACAGCTTCGTGGTTCAGTGCCCGGTCCACCCTCGAGACATTTCTCACCACTTGTGCCGCTTGGAACGCGGTTCCGGCAGCCGTACTTTCCACCACTGTTCCTCTGTCCATGCGACGCCCATCACGCGTGGACGGAATGGGATACGCATTTAGTAAAATGTCCGAAATCTTCTCCCCTTCTCGACCAATTTGGGAACTGGAACGACTTCAACGCCTTTTTGATCATGGCACATTGTGCTCCAGCAATGCGGACACACCAGCAGTTCATCCGTACACCGGGTCAGTTCACAATCCGGCTGGTGGTGGACATGGAACCCATTTGTACGGCGGTGTGTTTCAGCGATCTAGTCCCGTCACTACCTCGGCCGTACCCAACCGAACCGATCGGGAGGGTACGGGGACCACTTTGACAAACACGACGACCAATACCACCTCGATGAGCCCGTCTCATGGGGCTTCCGTTTTTCCCGCTGATCGCCCATCCCCACAAGATCGACGCATGCGCATGCTCCAGGGTCGACCTCGATCTCCATACGATTCGAGAAATCTGGGACCACAGCAGTCGCATTCAACTCCGACCGGAATGCTACAACCGCCGAATCATGATCAATTTAACAATCCCGAACCAGCCAGGCCGCTCAGTGACGTCGATACCCGAATCATGCAGCTATTGATTGCTCGGTTTGCCCGTGTTGAACGGTAAGCAAATGGGATACATTTCCGTAAGAGAGATGCCACTAATATTATTATTAATAATAGTAATATTTCCACTTTAATTATAGATTATTCTGGGTGAGCCGCGGGATATAAAACTGGTTGATATACCAGACACTGAAACAGATGAGTTGTACCAGTTTTCCATTTGCGCACGCTATTTTTACAAGTGAAGCTCAGTACTGAATTGGTTTTCTCTTCGACCTTTTGAATCTTCGTGGTATTTCGGTGTTCTTCTTAACCGATAATGGAGATATGTCCTAGGCTAATCTTAGTGTAGAAGTGTTCTTTCAACCATCCACCTCGTATTTTCATGCGCTAGTTTTCGGTCTTTCCTTTCAGTTACCCATTAAGTCGATGCACGAAGAATTGCGGAGTAGCGAGCTGCCATAACGATGATGCATTAAGCAATTGAATCGTGTGTGTTCTTATAAATCTTGTGTCTGCACCCATCGATTGAGTTAACCATGTGGTCTCCACTTGTGATGTCCAATGCAATCTATCGGATCAAGTTCCCTGGTGAAGGTTGTGATACCATCCTGCAAATCCTATGTACACATCACTCTCACTTGTTTACACCCCGTTCACGTATACACCGGACTTCGGCGTCTTCTATGTGTCTAGTCTTAGGTTATCAATGGTGGTGCTCACTCATCAAAACGGCGGCTAAAACTTCCATGTTTGTCACTTTCGGCCTTCTACTTCTTTCGCCTGCCCCATCGTTTATTGGTCGGCTTAAAGGTAACCCTCGGGTTAAGCAGAGCTGAATGCTATCAGGCCCGTCCCCGGGTTGTGGATA